CGGGTGACAGTATTATGCGTGTACATAGTTTTTGAGTGCTCTTGCTGCTCCTGGGGCTCTGGATTCTTGCGGATTTTTGTTGAGTCAGCGAAAATGTTCTTTTTCTTTTCAGTGAGGGACGCGTGGTGCTTCGCCCGCACACTCATTTTTTTTTTGTTCTTGGAGCCTTGGTGCATTGACGTATTGTTTCCTTTCATGTAGTTGCGCGCTTTCTCCCTTGAGGTGTAGGCACCATCTGCCTTCTCTTGTTTGATGTTTGTGCTTCTCTTATACCACTGGCTCCTTTTAGTATGCCTCTTTCGTAGTGGTCGCGATTCCCTCTGTGTTTGCTCCCGTTTATGAAGCGCTCCGACGGCACTGTGCGCCACACCGATGAAACAAACAAAAAATATTTGCGAGGTGCAGCAGCACGGTGAAAGCCTCAACGAAGTGTCAGTGATGCTTGGGCCTGCGTCTGTCCAGTGGGTAATAAAGTGGATGCACATCACTTGCTGCAGGCAATGTACAAAGTTTTCTAAGACCAGTTGATCTATGCGTCTTTTTTTTTTTGGGTGATTTTTTTTTTTCTTAAATGCGGGTTTCCCGTGATATGCCACTGCTTGGGCTGCGGTGTCGCCTCGAGTCTCAATTGTCTTTTTTCTTCTTCCTGTCCGTCCTGCACCCCCGCTGTTCTGTGTGCTCGTCTGTTTACATGCCCCAGCACATTTTTTTTTTTGTTGTTGTTGCGCATCTTTGGGCACACACACAACCACACACACGCACATATAATATACTGCAATGCAGGTGGGTGCACCTTTTGGCGGTGCAGCGTGTAGCCGCTGCTGCTTCCTTCCATGGCGATAGCAAAGAGAAGAGAATGACAAAGGGGAAGGAGGTGCGTTCTGGGTCATTCTCTCTTTTCTTTGAGGCTGCAGGGCACAGTGTATAATTGGTGGGCTGCCGCCTTTTCTTCATTCTCACTCACTCTCTCTCTCTCTCTCTCTATCCCCGCTGCACTCACTGTTTGCTACCTCTACCTTCCTTCCTCTTGTCTCTTTTTTTGTTTCCCGCTGCCTCGCAGCTCACTCATCCAAGCGACTCTGCTACCACCACTACCACTAATACTAAGACAGATGGCGATGGCGACGGTGCGGCGCCGTGCAGTGTGCGCCCTGGCGGTGCTTGCGCTGCTGTGGGGCTGCTCCTCCGTGTGCGGGGCGACGGCGTTGGGTACGAAATCGGAAGGGGGTCATGGGGCGAGTGGACAAGCCGTTCCGCAGGCCGCTTTTCAGCATTTGGGTGGAACTTTCTCTCACGAGTTGAATCTCCCTTCTGGTGTCTATGGCAGCGGGGCTGCCATAGGTCAGCAAGGTCAAGGGCCTGCATCGCGAGGCGCTTTGCTTCATTCATCTTCCCCGCAAAGTGGTGCTTCTACCGCCCCATGCTGTGCGAAAGATCATGACAGGTCCAAAGACGCCAATCGTTCTTGTCTGACTTGCGCCCCGGGTATTGCTGGTCGGCCTCCCAGGGATGACGAGACTCGTGATGCGGCTGAATACGTTGGCCCACGCGGAGGTTCCTCTGGAGCGAATGGTGGTGAAAGTAGCCTTTCTACTGACCCTTCTGGTCCTTCTAACTCGATGAGCAGCAACGTCGAAACTGTCACTAAACAGCCTCCTCCTTGCGTCCCCGGTGTCCCTGGTCAGCCCCCCACGGCTGGAGCAGGTACTGCTCAAAATGCAGGTTGTAACGCGGGAACTTCACTTGGAGTGGAGAGTGGCGGCAGTGCATCTCATCCTGCCCGTACTACTACTACTGATGGTGTTTCTGGAAAGCAGGATAGCAAACCAGCAGCTGGTGCTGCTGCTGCTGGCACTGCTCCGTGTGATGCGAATGTCTCCAATGAGTTGGTTGCAGCTTGTGTCTCTGGGATGCAGTTTTTTCCCGCTGCTCCCACGCATTCACAACCCCAAGTTATTGTCCCCTCTATCAACGGCGGTCATTTCGCTGAAGCACCTCAAAAACCTCATTCTTATCCTGGTGCTGTTTTTCAGGCCCCACCTGATCCCAATGACCCTGCCTTTTTGCAGCTTCATGGCGACGGTGTCGGTGTTGGCGGTAATTTCCCTGGTTCAGCGCTTGTGGGGCGACATTTCGTTCCGCCGCGTTCGATCACCGGAAGGCCATCGGGTGAAGGGGTAGCGAATCAACAGAACACGGGTAGGACGGCTGAAGGTGGGGTCGATGCGAAGGTGGGCGAAGCAGGTGATGTGACACACAACAGCGGCCCGGCCGCCGCCACTGGCCCCGGTAGCAACAGCGCAAACCGGCACAATGAAGGTGGGCAGCCATCTGCTGCTGCTGTTGCAGGGACAGCTCTCTCGGTGCAGACAAACGGCCAGAGCTCTGCCGAGGATGGGGCGACGAGAGGTGAGCTGGCAGCTTCCAGCTCTCAGGAGCCAAGCGGTGAGTCGCCGTCCAGCCTAGGCACTCCCGCTGGGGCGGCGCAGGAGGAGAGCCGTATGGGAGCTGCGGATGCAGGCGGTGCTCACAGCGGAGGGGCAAGCAACGGCCGGGGAGCCGGGACACAGGGAGGTGCCCATGCAGGCGCCGCGACGGCAAGGAACGCGACTTCTGCACTTGCAGCCCGCAACAACAGCGGTGGGGACCTGCTGCTGACGCGTACCGCTGAGGATGGCACTGTGTGTGGGCGCCGTGTGCTGCCGACGCTGCTCCTGTTGGGGTTGTGGGTGTTTGCGGCTATGTGAGGGATGCGCGGACTCCCAGTTCGGGAAATGTGCCTCTTTTTTCTGTTGAGAATAAATTCCTCTCCGCGGAGGACGATTTACCTTCTTTTGTTTGCTTTTTTTATCTTTTCTTTCTTTTTGCTTTGGGGGAAATCTCTACGGGCGCGTCTCTTTTTCGCGCTTCTCAATTAATCTTTTTCTTGCTTCATTCTTGCTTGCTGGGGTGCCGTGTGCGCCTCGCCCGGCTGCCGCTCTTGCACCCACAAACACGCGGAGGACGCCGGGCTTTTGAGTCCCGCCTGCTGTGCGCAGGAGGCGGAGGGCCGAGAAGAAACACACTTTGAAGACCCCGTCGTGTGTGTGTGTGGATACTTGGGGTGATCCGGTGGGACGAAACGCTCACATTTTGCTTTTGCTGCCAGGGAAGCCACACGCTCGCGGTGTCGCCAACCGCAGCCACGCCCTGTCACACTTTTTTTTTTTAATGCATTTTTTTTTACTTTAATTTTTCATTCTCCGCAGTGTGGGCTCGTGGGGGAGTTTTTTTTTTTTTGCTTCTCTGCGGATGTGGGTGGGTTTCTTCCGTGCGTGGCTGGGGAGTGGGCCGTGCGTCTTGCCGCTGGACGACTGCGCGTTCTCAATGCTTTTTGTATCTTTTTTTTTATTGCTTTTTTTTTTCTCTTGTCCACACACGCGGAAGTAAAGAGATGAAGCGCTAGTCGCTGCTGTGCATATTGAAGGGCTCTGCAGTCACCACCAGCAACGCTCACCACACAGACAATCGTTACAGCCTGAGCGGATCCAACACAAGGAGGGAAGGAAGAAAAAGATTGTGAGACCAACGGCCCAGCATGTCCCGGCATCATTTTCTTTTTGCGGTGCTGCTGCTCCTCTGCATGTTGTTGGTGCACTGCGGCAGTCAGGTTGTATACGCTGAAGTCGAAGGCAGAGGCGAAAATGAACAAAAGTGGGAGCCGGGTTATCTGCTACCCAAAAAGCAGTCGTTTGTGAATGTAACCATTGAGTTGAGTGCTAAAGATGGCTTCGATGCTGCAAAAAGTTCTTTCCGTGCCCCTGGAGTTGCTCTTGTGAATGGTGAGGCTTTCGTCTTTGCCGAGGCGCACTCGAAAGACTCCGTTGGTGTTGCTGCTGGCATTGCTGCAGGGAGCATCTCGTCTGATGCAGCGTCAGCCTCACAGGGCGGAAGAGTGGTTGATACAGAGCTGTCGGCGTACTTTCCGAAGGAAAATGAGTCGGGTGGAAGTGTCCCGCATGTTACGATGCCAACAACCATTACGAATGGGAGCACGGTTTACGTTCTGCTCGGAAAGTACGGCACTCCGGGCTCTGCTGGCAACAATAATACACGCTACACAGACCTTCTGCTGGCAAAGGCGGTGTTCGGCGACGGTGAAACGAGCAGCGTGCAGCCAAAGAAAATCAACTGGACTGGCACCTACGCACTGTGGCCCTATTTCCCCACCCAGATTTACTACAGGGGCATAACAGAACTGGTGGGTGGGGGGAGGCACTGGTGTTATTTTGGACGACGGGGCGCTTATCTTTCCCGTCGAGGCCAGAAAGGCAGGAGGGACGGTGGTCTCTCTCGTCCTGCAGTCAAAAAAACCTGAGAGGGAATGGGAGCTTTCGTGGGGCACGACTGTGAGCGGCTGCTCCAACCCCGCCATTGTGGAGTGGGACAGGTGTTATGGGGAACTCTACATGATCACCTCTTGTGATGAGGGCTTCTACAGGGTGGTGAGGTCCCGTTACTGGGGAGAAGAGTGGATGGAGGAAGACGCGATACTTTCTCGCCTGTGGGGCACCTCACACAATCGACAAGAGAATGGCGTTCGAAGCGGCTTTACCACTGCCACCATTTGGGGTAAGAAGCTGATGCTCTTCACCATGCCGGTGTATTCGGAGGACTCAGACAACAAAAAAGGAAGGGCCGTCTTCATCTTTGGGTGACTGACAAGCAACGTGTGCATGACGTTGGGCCGATATCTGAT